TCCATTCCCCTCCCAGTTCCTCCCAGTACCCCTCAGGCTCACCCAGTCCCCTCCTGCCCCGTCCCCGCCGGGAGGGGGGGGGAGGGCATTGGTGGCGCAGGTGGGGGAGGGGCTGTGCGTGGGAGAGGGGCTGTGGGAGGGGCCCGGCTCGGCCCCACCCCCCCCACTAACGATGGACACGGCGGTGACACGGCCGTACAGGTCCAGGGCCACGAAGGCGTTCTGGGGGGACAGTGACGTCATGGGGGGGAGGTGATGTCACAGGGTAGGGGGTAGGGGTGACGTTAGGGAGTGTGTGTCATGTCAGAGAGAGAGGTGTGACATCACAGCAAAGCTCCACCCCCTCCCCCCAGGTCCAGGGCCATGAAGGTGTTCTGGGGGGAAAGTGATGTTAGAGGGGGGTTGTGTGTGTGATGTCACTGGGGGGATGTGACATCACAGGAGAAGTGTGATGTCACAGAGAAAGATTTGATGTCACAAAGGAGGTACGATATTACAGGAAACAATGTGATGCCACAGAGGAGGCTGCAATGTCACACGAGAGCCATGATGTTACAGGGAGGACGTGATTTCACAAGGGAGGTGTGATGTCACAGAGGAACAGTAATGTCATAGGGGAGGTGTGATGTCACAAGAGAACTGTGATGTCACAAGGGATCAATGACATCGTAAAAGAAGTGTGACATCGTAAGGAAGGCTGTGATGTCACGGGGAGGATGTGAAGGTTAGGGTTGTTTTGGGGTCATGGCCAGGGTTGCTGGGGGAGCTGTCCAGGGGTGTGATCAGGGTGTGTCCAGGGGGGTGTCCAGGGTGTGGTTGGGGGGGGCGGTACCTTGGCCACACCCGTGGCTGCGGGTCCCATGTCCTGCCCATCCACTACAAGGTGCATCGAGTCGTCGGCCCCACGCCGGATCCCCAGGCGGTTCCCAACCTGAGGCACCCAAAAATCACCCCACATCACCCCAAAATCACCCCCAAATCACCCTGAAACCATTCCTAGGTGGTTCCCAACCTGGGACACCCCAAAATCATCCAAAACCCTCTCCTAAACCAACCTAGGACACTCCTGAGATCCCCAAAATCCCCCTCAGGAACCTCCCTGAGCCCCTCAAACCCCTCCAGGGACCCCCCAAACCCTCTCCCAAGCCCCCTGTCCCTCCTCACCGCCAGCCTGTCGAGGGAGACGCCGTAGTTGTGGCGGGTGGGGGTCCCATTCCTCCGCACCTCAGCCCCTGAGACCACCCATGTGGGAGGCGCGGGAAGGTCGAGCAGCGTCGGGGGCAGGGCGGGGGGGCCAGGGGGACCCTGCCCGGGGGGTAGTGCCGTCAGCCCCAGGCGCACCGAGCCCGCCCAGCGCTCGTCCAGCGCCTCGATCCGCACCTGGGACCCACAGGGGAAGATGGGCAGGGATTAGATGGGCGGGGATCAAGTAGGAGGGGATTAGTTGGGTGGGGCTTAAGGGAGCAAGGATTAAGTAGGTGAGGATTAGAGGGGAGGGGATTAGAGGGGCAGGACTTAAATAGGTGGAGCTTAGATAGGCAGGGATTAGATAAGTGGGGCTTGGGTGGGGATTAGAGAGACAGGGTTTAAACAAGTGGGGTTTAGATGGCAGGGATTTAGAAGGGAGTGGCTTAGATAGGTGAGGTTTACAGGGGCAGGGATTAGATGGATAGGATTTAGACAGGAAGGGCTTGGATAGGTGGGGCTTAGATAGGTGGGGCTTGGAGAGAGAGGCTGAGATAGGCAGGGTTTAGGTAGATGGGGATTAGATAAACGGGGCTTGGAGAAGCAGGGCTTAGATAGGTGGGGATTAGAGAGGTGGGATTTAGATAGGTGGCGCTTAGGTGGGGCTTAGAGGGGAGTGACTTGGATAACTGCAGCTTAGGCAGAGATTAGAGGAGTGCGACTTAGAGCCGAGAGGCTTAGACAAATAGGCCTCGGGGCAGATCTTAAAGGGAGATTTGAGGTTTGAGGATTAGAGGGGCAGGGCTTAGAGGGGTGGGGCTTGGATAAGTGAATCTTAGGGGGTGGGGCACGACAGGGCTCCGCCCACAACAGGTGGGGTGGGGGATCACCTGGAGAGTGAGTTGGAGGCTGTGTACCCCCTTGCAGGTGGTGGGGTTTCCCTTGACCCCTCCCTGACGATCCTACCCCCATGTAGGCATGTCCCTCCCTTAACCCCACCGCCGTGCGGGCGTATCCAACCCCACCACTCCCCCTTCTCTGAAACAGACAGCGTCCCCTAATTCCAAACTTCGAGTCCCTGCAAGCCCTGCCCACCTCAAAGAGCTCTCCGGGGCGCAGGTGGGAGCGGGAGAAGACGAGTCCGTGGCAGTAGCCGGCCACGCGCGCGGCCCCCAGGCCCTCAGCCCCCAGAGCCACGTTCTGCCCGCAGCGCCCGTGGAAGCGCTGGCACGGCCCGGGGGCTGTGGGGGAATATGAGTTATGGGACCCCCACCCCTCCATCCCTTCCCTGTCACCCCTGGGCACAGCCCAGGGGCTGCAGGGGGAAACGGGTTATGGGACCCCCACCCACCTCCACTCTCAGCACAGACCCCCTGAGACCCCTGGCACGGCCTGGGAGCTGCAGGGGAAGAGGGGCTATGGGACCCCCACCCCTTTCCTGTCACCTCCCATGGGCTGGCACGGCCTGGGGGCTGCAGGCAGAGGGGTTCATGGGACCCCCACCCACCTCCCCCAGAGCACAGATTCCCCCTGGGACCCCTGGCACAGCCAGGGGGCTGTGGGGGAATGGGGAATGGGTTATGGGACCTCCACCCCTTCCTGTCAACCTTCCAAGGGCTGTGGGACCCCTGGCACGGCCTGGGGACTGTGGGGGGATGGGGGGGCAGGGGGAGGGGTTATGGGATCCCCACACACCTCCCCCCAGAGCACAGACTCCCCAGAATTGCTGGTGAGGGCAGGGATTGCAGGGCAAGGGGTGTGGTCATGGGAAAGGGGGTGTGGCCAGGGGCAGCACCTCCCAGTGACCCCCCAGTCCCTCCGAGTGCCCTCCCAGTCCCTCCCAGTGCCCCCCCAGTGCTTTCCAGTGCCCCCCTAGTCCCTCCCACTACCCTCCCAATCCCCCCCACCGTGCCCACCTGGAGAGGGGGGCGGACAGGCCTTCTCCGGGGGGGCTCCGGGGGCCAGGCTGTTGTCGGTCGGGCCGGTGGCCCCAGTGAGGGACACCTGGACACACTGACCATAGAGATCCACCACAGCATACACCTCTGGGGACAGGGACAGTGTAACCTGTGTCACCTCAGTGTCACCTGACATACTGACCATAGAGATTCACCATGGCATAAACCTCTGGGGATTGGACACCTGTGTCACCTCAGTGTCACCTGCGTCACCTGACTGTCACCTCAGTGTCACCTAGACACCAGAGTTCGCACCTTCGATGAAGTACCACAGGTCTCCCTGTCCCCGCATCCCCATGTCCCTGTATCCTCCCCATGTCCCTGTATCCCCTCAATGTCCTGGGTGTCCCCAATATCCCTGGGCGTTCCTGGTGTTCCCATACCTGGTGGCAGCCCCGAGCAGGCCACGCCCTGGTCGGCCCCGTCAATGAAGTACCGCAGGTCCCCCGTCCCCGTGCGCATCATCCCGATCCGGGCGCCCGTTCCCAGCGCGTCCAGGTCGCAGCCGTAGTTGTTGCGCATCGTGTTCCCGTCCTGCATGATGGCAGTGCCACTGCAGGGACACAGGGACATCACTGGGGACACTGCCACAATTGCAATGCCGCTGCGGGGACATCAATGGGGACATGGCCGTGATGGCAGTGCCACTGTAGAGACATCAGTGGGGACACTGGGGACATTGTGGGGACATTGGGAACATGGCCACAATGGCAGTGATGCTGTGGGGACAGGGGGGACACTGACATGGGGACATGGCCATGGGGACACTGGGGACATGGGTGTCCCCCAAGTGACCCCGTGGGGACATGGGTGACCCCCAGGTGACCCAGGTGTCCCCACCTGAGCATCCAGGTGTCATAGTCGATGTCTGTCATGGTGTTGGGGAACTCCAGGTCCTCGGGGCGGATGGCGGTGACACCTGCAGGGACATGCGGGGGGACAGGTGACACCTTGTGTCTGTCCTCATGACCCCACATCTCCCTCACTGTCTCTTCATGTCCCCCCCATTGTCCCCAATGTCCCTGTGTCCCCCTTTGTCCCATTATCCCCAATGTCCCCCCAGTGTCCCCAATGCCCCCACAGTGCCCCATGTCCCCCCAGTGTCCCCAATGTCCCCCCAGTGTCCCCTCACCAGCCTCGATGGACCCCGACCAGCGATCCACCATCTTCTGGATGACGATCTCAAACAGCTCCCCGTCCCTGAGGGCCCTGGGACCCCAAAAACAGGGGGTCACCCCACAATAGGGATACCCCAAACCGACGGGGACACCCCTCACAGCCCCTCGTCCCTGAGGGCCCTAGGACTTCACAAACAGGGGGGTCATCCCAAAATAGGGACAAACCAAAATAGGGACACCCTCCCATTCCACAGCTCCCTGTCCCTGAGACCCCAAAAAAGGGCAGGTCATCCCAAAAACATGAACACTCTCCCACCCACAGCTCCCCTTCCCTGAGCACCCTGGGACCCCAAAAACAGGGGGTCACCCCAAAATAGCTACACCCCAAAATAGGGACACCCACACACACAGCTCCCTGTCCCTGGGACCCCAAAAACGGGGGGATCACCCCAAAAACAGGGACAGCTCGAATTAGGGACATCCCCTCACCCGCAGCTCCCTGTCTCTGAGATCCCAAAACCAGGGAGGGCACCCCAAAACCAGGGGGTCACCCCAAACCCAGGAGGCCCCAAGTGACCCTGAAAGCCTCTGGGGACCCCCTTTGGGAGGTGGCAGCAGATTTTGTGTTGAATTTTGTGATTTTTGGGGTTACAAGGATGTTTTTTTGGGTGAATTTGGGGGTTTTGGGGTGGACTCGGGGTTTTTGGAGCAGATTTGGGGTTTTGGGGGTGGCACCTGTTGTAGATGCTGATGGCACCATTGAACTCGGAGCAGCAGTTCTGCCTCAAGGTTGCGTCTGGGGTGGGGTTGGGGTTGTTTTTGCAGTTCAGGGCTGGATTTTTGGGTGGATTTGGGGTTTTTGGGTCGGTTTTGGGTTTTGGGGCTGTACCTGTTGGAGATGACGATGGCATCGTTGAACTCGGAGCGGCAGTTCTGCCTCAGGGCAGTCCTGCCGCCGTTGGTGATGACGGCATTGGCGCCGTGCAGGCGATGGAATCGGAGATCGCTCGGGGACCCCCCCGGGGAGGAGCCCTCAGGGGACTCCCCTGGGCTGTCACCGTCCGAGCCCTCCCCTGACAGCGGCGGCACCTCTGGGGGCACAGGTGGGGCATGTGGGGCCCACATCCGGATGCCACACCTGGCCTGGAGACCCCCAGACCTGGCCCACGCCCCCCAAACCCTGAGCCCCCAGACCCAGCCTGGACCAGCCTGGAGCCCCTAAACCCAGTCCTGAGCCCCCAGATTTGGCCTGGAGCCCCCTGACCCAGTGTCACCACCACCCCTAGTGTCTCCAGTGACCCTGATGTCCCCAAGATCTCCAGTGTTCCAATGACCTCATCATGCCCAATGTTCCCCCAATGTCCCCGATGTCACCCCAGTGTCCTCAACACTCCCAATGTCCCCATCATGCCCAATGTTCCCCCAATGTCCCCAACCCATCCAGTGTCCTCAATGTCTCCAATGTCCCCAATGCCCCCAAAGTCCCCATGTCCCACCTCCCTCATCCACAACAGCGGCCCGTACAGAGCCAATGCCCCCAATGTCCCCGATGTCCCCAATGTCCCCAACGTTCCCGTGGCCCACCTCCCTCGTCCACAACAGCGGCCCGTACAGAGCCAATGCCCCCAATGTCCCCGATGTCCCCAATGTCCCCAACGTTCCCGTGGCCCACCTCCCTCGTCCACGATGGTGGCCTGAGCCGCCTGCCCGTACAGGTCGACCACAGCGTAGACGTTGGGGGGGACGTTCCAGGCCGCGGGGCCTTGGGGGGCCCCGTTGACGAAGAAGTGCAGGGTCCCGTCATCCCTGCGCACCACGCCCACCGTGTCCCCTGCCTGAAGGGACAGTGTCACCAGGGGCAGGGCCATCACGACCCACTGTGTCCCCAGGAGAGCCTCAGGGGTGTCCCCACAGCCCCCACCATGTCCCCCACCTGAGGGGACAGTGTCACCTGGGGCAGGGTCACCATGACCCTCCCCGTGTCCCCTCCCCCGTGTGGTGTCCCCATGTCCCCCCTGTCCCCATGTCTCCCCCAAGTCCCCCTGGGGGGTGTCCCCATGTCCTCCCATGTCCTCATGTTCCGCCAGGGGGGTGTGGGGGTCCCACCTTGAGTCGGTCCAGGTTGTGTCCATACTCATCCAGGACGGTGGTGCCGTTGTGCATCACCCCGTTCCCCGTCATCATCCACGTGCCTGGGGACACAAGGGACAGTGGGACGGGAGGTGGCACCTCGGGCACATGGGGACACAGGGGACAGCGGGGATATAGGCTGGCACCTTGGGGCACGTGGGGACATGGGGATGGCACCACGGGGACATGGGATGCCACCTGGAGGATGTGGGGACATGGGGATGGAACCTCAGGGACATTGGGGACACAGAGCGGCACCTCAGGGATGTCACCTCAGAGACACAGGGATGTCACTGTGGGGACGTGAGGTGGTACTTCAGGCATGTGGGAACTGGGGATGTCACCTTGAGAGCATGGGGTGGCACCACAGCAATGTCACGTCAGGGACAAGGGGATGGCATCTCAGGTACGTGGGGATGTGACCCCAGGGGTGTCACCACAGGGATATTGGTCATGGTGGGGGGCAGCTGCAGGGGGGTGGGGTGGGGATGGTGACACTGAAGTCAACATTGGTGACTCACCTGAGTGCACGTTGGTCACGGTGGGGTGAGGATGGTGACCCCATGGTGACAATGTGATGACACTAGTGACCGTGGGGACTCACCTGAGCGCAGGTTGGTCATGGTGGAGGGCAGCTGCAGGTAGGCCGGGTTGTGGGTGGTCACCCCGATCTCGATGGACCCCGCCCACTTGTCCACCATCTTGTCAATGCGCACCTGGAACAGCTCATTGTCCCTCAGGGCCCGAGCGCTCAGCACGACCCCGTGGTTGAAGTCATCGGTGGCACTGGGGACAAGGACGCTCTGTCACCTCATATGGGGACACCACAGGGACAGGGACACCACATTGTTCCTCAGAGCCCAAGCACTCAGCACAACCCCATGGCTGAAATCATCGGTGGTCCTCGTTGACCATAATCACCCCAATCACCCCAATGACCCCATAATGTCCCCACATCCCCCTGTGGTCACTCACTGCGGCCGCAATGCCGTCCGGCCCTCGTTGACCACGGCCGCCTTCTGGCCGCAGTTGGGGTGGAAGAGCAGGCGTGGGGCCGGGGGGTGCACAGGGGGCGCAGGGGAGGGGTGGGTGGCACCGGGGGGCCGGCGGGGCGTCCCCTCAGGGGACAGGGCGCGCAGGATGGCGTTGTTGCGGCGCAGGCGGTCGCTGTGGTTGTGGTTGTGCACGATGGTCACCTTGACGGCCATCCCGTACAGGTCCACCACCCCGTACACCACCTGCGGGGTCAGCGTCGTGGCCACTCCTGGAGACATGGGGACACGGAGTCATCGTGAGGCATGAGGACACAGGGAGAGCATGGGGACAGCCTAGGGACAGCCTGGTGACACGCCGGGGGCCAAAAGGTCATGGAGAGTCAGTGCTGGGGACACTCCATGAAGTGGACAATCTCAAGAGCTGTTTTGGGGTCACTCAGGCCCACCGCGGGTCAACATTGGGTTCCCAATTCAGGTTCCCCGTTCTGGACTCCCCATTTTAGGGTCCCTGTTTTGGGGTGCAGATTTTGCGATCCCCATTTTGGGGTGCAGATTTTGGAGTCTCCATTTCAAGATTCCCATTTCCAAGTCCCCGTTTTGGGGTCCCCTTTTTGGGTGGAGTTTTGGGGTCCCCCTTTTGTGATCCCTGTTTTGGGGTCCCTGTTTCAGAGTCCCCATTTCCAGATCCCCATTTTGGGATGCAGTTTTGCGGTCCCCATTTTGTGGTCCCTGTTTTGGGCTCCCCATTTTGGGGTCCCCCTTTTGGAGTCCCCATTTTAGGGTGGCCATTTTGGGGTGCAGTTTTAAGTTCCCTGTTTTGTGATCCCTGTTTTTGGGTCCCCATTTTGGCATGCAAATTTTTGGGGTCCCTATTTCGGGATGCAGTTTTAAGTTCCCTGTTTAGGGGTCCCCATTTTGAGGTCCCCATTTTGGGGTCCCTGTTTTGGGGTGCAAGTTTTGGGGGGCAGGTTTTGGGGTCCCCATTTTGTGGTCCCTGTTTTGGAGTCCCCATTTTGCAGTGCAGATTTTGGAGTCGCTGTTTTTGGGTCTCACCTTGGTCGACGCCATTAATATAGAAGTGCAGAGCGTTGTTGGCCTTCCTGGTCAGCCCAATGTGATCCCCCTCCTGGGGGGGCAAAAACGGGGTCACCGGGATCCCCCAAACCCGGGGGAGCCCCCCAAAACCAGGGGGACTCCCCCAAAACTGGGAGGACCCCCCAGAACCCGCCGGGGGGTCCTGAAGGAGGCAGGGATGGGTTGGAGACCCCACAAAATATCTCTAGAACACACTGGGGACATTCACGGGGGAATTTGGTAGGGTGCCCTCAGAATCTGGGGGGTTCTGTGGGGGTTGGGGGGCAGAAAGGAGGGATTTGGGGACTACCCCAAATTTGGGGCATCCTGGGGGTCTCCAATAAGGGGAGTTTAGGGGGGGTACCCCCAAAATTTGATGAGCTCTTGGGGAAACACTGGGAGAGTTCCCTGAATTCTGGACTGCAGGAAATTCGAGAGGGGTCCCCCCAATCTTGGGGTGGCTCAGGAGACTTTTAGAACATCCAAAAAGGGGAATTTCGGGTGCGGGAATCTCCCCATATTATGCATCACAAGGAGGTTTGGGGGGGGAAATCCCTGAATTTTGGGGAGGTCTCTGAATTCTGAGGGGGCTGAGGAGGGTCAGGGGGGGTCACCTGCAGCTCATCCAGGCTGAACTCGCAGTATTCCCGGCGTGTCCCTTTGCCGTTGGTGAGGATCCCGCAGCCGCTCATCATGATGGTCCCTGGCAGATGGAAGAGTTGGGGGGCGCCCCAAGTGCTGGGGTAGTCCCCCACCCCTAATTCGGGGGAGTTCAGGTGTCTGGGGAGTCCCCCAGATCATTTCTAAGGAGATTTTGGGAGCCCCAACTCTATTTTTGGAAGGTCTTGGAAACACTGAGATTTCCAAACAGAGGCACCCCTCCCGACCCTGGGGGGGTTTCCCCTGGATCTGGGGGGGTTCCCCTGAGATTCTGGAGTTCCCTGAGGGGTCCCAGACATCCAGGGGTCCACCCCAAAACCCTTCATAGGGGGATATGGGGATCCCGAGGTCTATTTTGGAGGGGTCCTGAAAGCACCAATATTTCCAGCTAGAGACCCTCCGAACCTAGGGTGGTTTCCCCTGGATTTGGGGCATTCTCCTGGATCTGAGGGGGTCCCCCCCATGTTTCTGGGTGGCTCACCCGAGCGCAGGTTGGTCATGGTGGCCGGGTACTCAAGGCTGTTGGGGTTGTGGGCGGTGACCCCAATCTCGATGGACCCCGACCACTTGTCCACCAGTTTGTCAATGCGGATCTGGAGGGGCCAAGGGGGAAAAGGGGGGTCAGGGACCCCCAAAATCCCACAGGAACACCCCCAGGACCACCCAGAACCCCTTTAAGACATCCCACGACTGCCAAAATGTCCTTCAAGAACCCCAAAACACCCCCCATGACCCCCAGAACCCAAACACCCTGCAGAACCCCTCTAATGTCCACCAGTTTGTCAATGTGGATATGGGGGGGTCCAAGGAGGAAAAAGGGGGGTCAGAAACCTCTAAAATCCCACAGGAACCCCCCATTGACCACCCAGAACCCCTTTAACAGCTTCCAGGACCCCCATAACGCCCACAGACCACCCCAGGACTCCTCTAATTACTCTCAATACCCCCCCTGAACCCCCTAAGCCCCCCTAGACCCCCCCAAAACCCCACCTCAAACATCTCGCCATACCTGAGGGACCTGTTGGTGAGGATATCACCCCTCAGAAACCCCCCAGGACCCATGTAACTTCTCCCAAACCCCTCCAGGACCACTGTAACACCCCCAAATGCCCCCAGGACCCCTCTAACTCCCTCCCAACCCCTCCAGGACACACCCAGCCCCCCCCCAAAGCCCTGCCCTGAACATTTCCCTGCCCCTGAGGGGCCTGTTGGTGAGGACATCACCACCTAGAACCCTCCAAAACACCCCCCAAACCCCTCCAGGACCACCTGAGACCCCTCCCAGAGCCCTACCTCGAACATCTCCCCATCCCTGAGGGGCCTGTTGGTGAGCACCACGCCGTTGTTGAACTCATCCAGGGGCCGCCTGCGCTCGGCCGTTTTGTGCCCATTGCTGAGCTTGATGAGGGCCCCGCACTTCTCGTGGAACAGCAGCGCCTCATTGGTCAGCCCCGTGCCTGGGGGAGAGGTCAGTCAGGCCATGCCCGCGCTTGGAGGCATAGACCCCCAACAAATGGGACAAAACGTCCCTAAAAAACCATTGCTTCTATCTTCCTTACCGCAGGTGAAGCTCCACCCACTTCAGGTGGGACAAACCCCTTGGGTGGACACGCCCTCAGGATTGGCCTCAGCCCCTTTACAAATCGCCACGCCCACCCAAAAAAGGTGTCACAGACTCCCAGAAAGGAACAAATACACCCCACCCGAAAAATCCATCCGTCCATTATGAGAGCGGGTGTTTCAATAGGCCACATTCCTCGGGATAGGACATGCCCACTTTGGGAAAAGTCACACCCCTTGTAAGCGCCATACCCCTCAAACTGGGTCACAGACCCCCAAAAAGGAGGCAAAGACCACCCTGCAAAAAAAGTGCCTGTATCTTTATTATAGGAGGCAAACCTCCGCTTACTTTAGGTGGACAGACCCCTCGACTTGCCGCACCCATTTTTGGAACAGCCGCACCCCTAGAACTTCAGGTAGAGCCAAGGCACCACCCCCCTTGAACAAGCCATGCCATTCTAACAAATCCCATCGGTCCACAGTGAAGAGGGCATAGCTCTGCCGCCACGATGTCCCCACTCACCAGCAAGCCACACCACTGCAAAAAAGCTTCACCCACTGCATGACCATACCCACTGAAGACAAATCCCACTCTCTCATGACCACACCCACCCACAAGTGGGAATGTGTCTGGAGAAGACCCTATACCCACCCTAAACTCCACTCCTTTTGTGGGACCCCACCCCCTTTTACCATAGGCTACACCCCATCAGTCCCAAACCATGCCCTCTCAGTCCCTGGCCCCTTTTGTCCCAG